ATGTAATGAATTATCATCATCACTTGTTACTCGAATAAATACTTCATGAACCCTAAATCCGTCATGAGTCCTCTTGAATGCGTTTATCAAAATGCTCTTTATTACCTATTCAATAATTCCACTACAACGACTGGAACGGATACCTAAACCGAACACAGATAAGAGGAAGGAAGTGACCAAGATTGTTTGCTTGTTTCGGTCACGTGACAATGACTCCTTGACGGACCAGGTCGGGCAGATGGGGGGTAGGGGTAGAGGGGAGGGGGATAGGGTTCAGGGAGGGAAGGGGGGGGAGGGCGGGAGGGGGGAGGGGAGGGCTCTGGATTGGGTAGAGGGGAGTGGGGAAGGGCTGAGGGGCGGGGGGTTGTGGTGGGCTTTCGTGGAAGGGAATCTGTATGCCAGTATTTCTGTATCTCCCCCTCACTCATTTTGTTTATCTCACACACACACACATATAAATATGTGTAATACATACATACATACATACATTATAATATATATATATATATATATATATATATATATATATATGTATATATCACTATATATATATATATATATATATATATATATTATATATATATATGGTATTATATTGTGTGTGTGTATGTGTGTGTGTGTGTGTGTGTGTGTGTGTGTGTGGTGTGTGTGTGTGTGTGTGTGTGTGTGTGTGTGTGTGTGTGTGGTGTGTGTATACAACAAGCACAAACCTCCCCTCCCCCCCACCCTCCCCTCCCCGTCCCGTCCCCAGCCCTATCGACATCCCGGTTCCCTTCAACAGAAAACGCCCAGAGAAGGTCGTTCCGAATCCTTCCATTGATCTCACTCCCAATGACGTATTTCCTTATTAACCGATTTCCTCTTTAACGTCTGCGAGTCCTCCCTTCAGCGAAATGCGCGCCAGGGCAGCGGAATCGCGTCAAACGGGCGCAAAGTGATCTTCTTCTTTTCTGCTGATACACGGCCGGTGGTTTCCGAGCGGGTGGCAGGTCGTTGTTGTTGTCGTTGCATGTCGTTGTTTGGGTGTGTGTTGCGCGTTTTTTTCTTGTTGCGTTTCGTTTCTTGTTGCGTTTCATTTCTTCTTCGTCTTCTTCTTGTTCAGTTTCTAGCTTTATCTACTTCTTTTTCGTTTTTCTCTTTTTCGTCTTTCTTCTCTCCTTGCACATGAGAAAAGAAATCAAATAAAAACAACTACACTTTCTAAGCTTCCTCTACCTTTTCCATTTTCTCTTTTCTTCTTTCTTCAGAGAAAAGAAAATCAAATAAAAAACTTCACTTCTAAGCTTCCTCTACCTTTCCCCTTTCTCTTTTCTCTTTCTTCTCTCCTACAAATGAGAAAAAGAAAGTCAAGGAAAAAACAACTACAACACTTTCTAAGCTTCCTCTACCTTTCCCCTTTTCTTTTCTCTTTTCTTCTTTCTTCTCTCCTTACAAATGAGAAAAAAGAAAATAAAAAAACTACAATACTTTCTAAGCTTCCTCTACCTTTCCCTTTTTCTTTCTTCTCTCCTTACAAAAAATAAAAAAAAAAAAAATAAAAAGTTGCAACACACTTTCTAAGCTTCCTCTGCTTTTCCCTTTCTTCTCTTCCCTACAAATGAGAAAAGAAAACCAAATAAATAACAACTATACTTTCTAAGCTCCTCTATCTTTCCCTCTCCCCCCTTTCCTTTTCTTCTCTCCTTACAAAGAAAAAGAAAACCAAATAAATCAACAACTACACTTTCTAAGCTCCTTCTATCTTTCTCCCCCCCTTTCTTCTATTTACAAATGAGAAACAGAAAACCAAATAAAACAACAACTACATCTATGGAGAACGTGAATGTGGTGGTTCGCGAAGAGCTGTTTGTCAGGAATGGCTCCTTAAGATTAGATTAGCCTTGTTACCTTAGTCTGATGGTCTGTAAACACTTGTTCCTCTACTCAAATACCGCCTTTATTCATTCTTATTTCGTACGTTCGATTAATTGGGTCTAATTTCTTTATTTGGAGAATGATGGGAGTGAGGTGGAAAATGAGAAGAGTATTCTTTATACATATTTTTGGAGGAAATGGTTATTTAGGAGGGAGATGCTGATAGACACGAGGGAGAGGGACGAGTGGGGAGGGAGGAAGAGGGTGGGGCGGGGAGAAGGGAGGGGGATGGAGAGGAGGAAGGGAGAGAAGGGGAGGGGGGGGGGTACGAAGCTAGGAATTCAACGCTAGTTATGAATGTGATGTGGGTTTACTGGGCATGTGGGCATAGGGGGCAGTTGACTCCTGACTTGCCTGTGGTGCTGACACGATCACGCTTTCGCCATCATTCAAGATAATCGATTTTTTGAAACTCAGAAGTGGTTCTTTGAATGCTTGTGTCAACTGCAATTGGTTGTTGTATTAACTATGTTTCGTCCTCTTGAATGACACTCGATTCTTTGCTATCTTTATGTTGTTCTTTAGATATGTGAGTATTCACTGTTGACACAGAGGGTATAGTTTGAAAATAGATGCCAATTAAATATGTGAAGGGATTTGAAAGTTTTACAGAATGGAAAAGAGCATACGTGACTGAAAAGTTTGTTTAGTTTACCCTCCGAGAGATTACGTTATCACCGCGAAGGATAACCAGTCAAAACTAAAGTCAGACTTTGCTCAAAACGAGTGTTCATTGAGATCGGAGCCTTTGTCACAAGACGACTGAAAATTAAGACACGAAATGGCAGCCAGAGACCCCATGTTCTACCCTTCCTCATCTTCCTCCTCCGCGTCCTCTTCCGTGAACTCCTTGGATACCGCCCTTCGCGACGCCCTCGCCCGCGCCCTCGACAAAGGACGGGCTTCCACGGGCGAGACGAGGGACAGGATGAGCCATTACTACACCTGCAGCGTGGAGACAGTGAGGAACAAGATCTCCGGTAAGTCCAGGAATCTTCAGGCGAAATGGAAGGATCTCCGAGGACTGCAGGAGGCGCGCGAAAGGGCACTGGAAGGACTCAAGGGCGCTGGGAGGACCCTCGTGTGCTTCGTCGGAGGAAGGGACGGAGGCTCGCCCAAGGCCACGTATCAGCGATTGGATAATGATTTGGTGAGCTTCTTAGGTTATTTTGGGCGTGGCACTTCGTTGAGATTTTTTTTGTTTAGCAGTGTGGCATTAGTGAAGTCAGATAAATGCGTGCCTGTGCCCACAATTGCTACTCTTGTCAATGTCAGCCTCTTTTTGTTGCCACTCATACGTATACATATCATCCCTGTTTCAAAACTGCTTCCCATTTCTTTACCTCCAGGACGAAGCTACCGAGAGGACCCACATCTCGGCCTCGCCCTCTACTTCGCCTTCGACCTCGTCCTCCACCTCGTCCTCTGACCCCCTCCCTCGCCTCCGCGCCCGCGTCGCCCTCGAGTTGTCCAGGGCGGGCAAGTGGCTGGTGACGGGCCTTCGAGGTTATGCCGAAAGTGTCAACCCTACCATGGCCTACGACGCCCGAGCCAGGCACACGCTGCACGTCGCCAGTTCGGGCTATCCAACTACCTTTCCTTATGCTCTGTGAGGAGGAATTGGCGAGAGGGAGAGGGCTGAATGTACGTCTGGATAAGGAGGTGTTTGTTGTGTGTCTGGATTTCCTTATACCTTATGAAGAGGGACTTTATATATCAGTGTGTACAGTTTTGTTACTTCCCTTGTGTGTATTTGGGAGAATGGAATAAGGATGTTTTTGTAGATTATGACTGTGGGATGTAACTGAGGCGAGGTGATATATTTTATGAAACTCGTTTAGTTAAACAAATGACAGGTTGTTACTTTTTATGTGCTGTGTGTGGATGTGTTGTTCATATAATTTTTAATATACATTTTATAGGAGGACGGATTACATTTTGTTTTTTAACAGGAATAATGCCAGTTTAGCACATATGCCTTTGTAAATATGTGCCCATATCAATGTATTTTAAGGTGACATTTTAAATGTGTGACATAGATACATAGAAGATGAGCTAATAGATATATAAACAATCATTGTGTATATATTGTGTACTATGTATAAATTTTCGTAAGCTCTGTATAATGAAGTAAAGTCATATTGTTACTTGTATTTTAATCAGATATGTTGTGTGATGAAACCCATAATTTTATGGCTAATTGTAATGTATTTTCATTATTAAAGATATTAAATTGTTAATGAGTGTTTCTATTTAAAAATACATTCCAGCTGATTTTTTTCCTGTTACTTGTGTATTCATTAAGTTTCATATCACAAAACTCCCATGTTCAAAAATAAATAGAATTGCCATGAGGGGAGCAATCCGTACATATGCTATTCTTCAGTAAAAGATTGTGTACAAACAGGGTAAAACATTAACTTAGTACTATACAAAATATTATTGCTGTTTTATATATGGTCATATATCAATGTCTTTAATGTAAAACAAATCTTTCAGTATGTCTTATATCCATTCCACATAAAATGATAGGTAGCTTATACATTTCCCTCTCCATTACTTATGCAGAAATATTAGTGCAGTATCTGCCAAGTATAAGATCAAAATCCTGAAATTACTATATTTTTTTTTTTCTTTCTTTTCTTTCCTTTAGCCACTGAATTTTTTAAAAATCACACAAATAAGTGGAGAAAGTATTCCCTGATTTATTCATAGTAACTTCTGTTTTTTCAACTGCGAAGCTCTATGGGTAATAAAACACAAACGTTTTTTCATATCGCTTTTATTCATTCTGATGAGCTCCCTGAGCACATATTAATAAAATGGATGAGTAAAAAATTATAATGACAAAACTATTGATTTTAACTGAAAGTACTCTACAGAAAATTATGATTAATGATGAAAATATTGGTTTTATAATGGAGAATTCTACAGAAAATTGTTTAAGGCAAAATTAGGCATGACAGTTCTATGATCTCTTCACCATCATGACTTTGATTTTAATGAATTGCTATAATATTAAGATGGATTGTCTTCAGCAGATATAAGCCTAAAATGTAAACTGTTCAAAACTGAAATCCAGAACTTAGAAAATAAAAAAAAATACAATTGGTACTTTCAATATACTTTAATAAGTATGAAATAAAAATCTCCTCCTTGGCTTTAGGAATATTCTCCTTGACAGTGACAGAAAATGCCTTTAATAAAAATAAATAAATCATTAATGACAATAATGATAGTGACAATCATACCAAAGATAATGACTGATAATAATAATACATAAATTATTATTCTTATTGTCAATATCATTGTCTTGTCATAATTATTAATAAAATGAAATAATTTCCTCCAGTTCTTAGTGAAAAAAGACGAACCAAAAAAAAAATTGTAATAATTCAACACATACAATATTTTCTTTTTTCTTTTTCAGCATTCTAGACACGGTCATTATATCACTAAAAAGATTATCTGAATAAGATGTTATCAACTTATGATATAATCTTCAACTTCCTCTCAGTACATTTCTTTTTTTTTTTTTTTTTTTTTTTGTTTTTGTAAAGAAAAAATGAGAAAAAAAGTAATAGCAATAATAATGCTAACATTAATAATGATAATAATAATAATAATAGGAATAGTAATAAAAATAATGTGATGACAGTAATAATGACATCATCATCATCATCATCCTACTAATAATAATGGTAATAAAATTCTGAAAGATTCATCTATTTTCCAGTATTTATCCATTATGAATGAAAATTAGGGAAAAAAATATATTTCTTTTCCTATTTGAATGGACTTACTGAACAAAAATTCCATAGTGTTAATTTTTTTTGCGAGGAAAACAAGTTCAAATTGCAAACAAAAAGGCTACGTAAAGTAAACTAAAATATAGGCTTATGATAGCACAATATCATAGAAAATTTATTATCTTTTTTTACCATAATGTTAAACAGGAAAAGAAAAGGCAGATAAGAAGAGAACTGGAGAGAGAGAGACAAGGAGAAAATGTAAAAAAAAAAAAAAAAGAAAGAAAACAATTACAATAGGAACAATAATTTAATTACAAAATAACCCTCAAAGCAAAAACATCAAACAAACAAACAAAAAAAAAACTATTTATTTCACCAAGTACGTACTAAAAACACAACCACACGATACATGCCTCCAGAACAATTCACAATATGGAATGACGAAGAATTGTTTCCAAAATATGCCTAACTTTGAGCAATTTTAAATATAATTTTCTTGTAAATGAAGCTAAAATGGAATGACTAATATCATCTACAATGTTGATGACAAGAACACAAAGCAGAATGTTTATTTTAATCATCCATTCATGCACTGCATTATGGAGTTGTTGTTCTTTCCAGTCAATTAAATTCTATGTCTCAAAGACAAAAATAAATACTGCATCAGGCAAGTACAGCAAAGGAAAATGTTATACAATTTCTTATATTCCAAATCGAATTAATGCTCATCTCATTTAAGTACATAATATTTCAGGTGTATCCTTTTCCTCTTTTCTACTCCATAAAACACAAAAGTAAAAAAAAAAAAAAAAAAAAATACTTCAACAAACTTATAAACATATTCAATCCTTCTCTCTCTCTCTCTTTTCTCTCTTCCTCTCCATTGTCTGTACAAATGAGAAAAGACGTTTGAGCAAGCCAAAACCTGAAGAAGAAACAAGTACAAAAGAAAACCTTGATGACATCTAAGCTACACTTGTAATGCACGTAATCTCAGTTTTGCCAAAACTACGATTAAACATTTGCATTCTTATGTATCTTAAAAGACTGAATATCATTGATCCTACAATAAGGATTATTTTTCCTCTTTTTACCAACACACCACCAAAACTATTAGATGAAAATAATAGAACTATATGATTTACAACTATAGGCAAAACATTATGATGTCAATATCAGTTAAACATAAAAAAAATATATAGTAGCAGAAGAGAGAAAATATTTTATCATTGTAAACTGCACTATAATGCAGGCTATTTTTAATTTTTTTACTTGTTTAATCCTTTTACTAAATACAGGTGTCAATCCATTCACTCACAATCACCACATTATCTGCACATCATCACATCACAATCTAAAACACAAAGGAAACTCCAAAATTTGGGCCAATACAAAGACATGTGTGAAGTGCAGTAATTTTTCTGAAATGCGGAAATGATTTCTGTATCAATTTTCTTTTTTCTTTTTGAAAATATTAATTTGCATTCTAAAACCAATTGGGAAAAAGCCCCATCACCAACACCATTTGCTAAGCATAACCAATTTTCTTTCATCTTTCCAGTTCAATTTTTTCTTTTCAACAGAATTTCCTGAGATTTTGCAAGTGTTTTAGAGCCATAAAAAAGATGAAGCAGAAAAAAAGATATGATTCCTAAGACAAAAACCAAACCTCACTTCATAATAAACTTTAGGAAGAGACAGAGTTGTGGTAAGAGCAATATTTACATATCAAATTATTTTTATCAATCTCTTTATACAAATATATATTTATATATATATGTATGCATGTCTATGTCCATTATCTATTATAGTAATGTGTATATCACAGCAGACGTAAAACAGGTGGCTTCCTCCCATGCACACACCCCCAGGCCACTTGTGGGGCTAGAGTTCATCGTGGGGAGGCTCGTGAGAGGGCTCTTGGCCAGAGAGGCTGGTTATGTCCTTCGGCACGGAGGAACCCTTCCTCATGAGGGAGTTCAGAGTCCTCAACAAGTCCCCCTGATACTTTGGGTCTCCCTCAATTGGCAGCAAACGCTCCCCCTCATCCTCCCCCTCTTTCCCCTCCTCTAATCCCACAGAGAACAGCCTCTGAATTTCTCTGAGGTATGTGAGTTTCATTCTCTGCCACTTGATGTCCCTGACAATTAGTTTTTTTGCCTGCATCAGTACACGATAATGGGCATCCTCGTGAAGGGACTCCTTTCCCTTAGACCCTACTGCTCCCTTGGTGAGGCTTGTTATCCTCTCCGACACCTGCAGGAGCCTGGTAGTGTTGGACGTGAGGGAGTGGTGGAGCTGTGTGGTGGCCAGCCTGGCTGCACGCAAGACCTGCTCCTGGCACTGGTCTCGGCACACTGAGAGTGCCAGAGCCAGGCGGTGACCAGGGCCAAGGCTGCTTACTAGGAATGACATCAGATTTGCAGGGGTCAGCTGCTGACTCAGGTCAAAAATCCTGCTCTCGCTTTTGCTGGAGGGCAAGAGAAACTCATTATAGAAGGAGTAACCAAGAGGGTATTAAATCTATTTCCAATATTTGATGACATTTTGGTGCTTATATTAAACAAATAAGAGATGTCATAACTTTCATTAAATAATCCCAAAAAATACATAAACAAATAAAAAAAAGAGCTAAAATTATTCGAATATTAAACATCTTTAACATACAGGCTTAACAAGCTTCTATCACATATCCAAAAAAATGCTAAATTTCAAATTTTTTTACAAAAGATAGATTCACACTCATCCCACTTACTGGACATGCGGGTGAACTATGATGGTTGGGAGCGCATCAAAGTGCAGGTTCCAGGGAAGCGTGTTGGTGGCAACATTAATCCTGGCGAAAGTGATGTTGGGCAGGTGCCTGGCCACCTGTGCCACAGCCATTAAAACATGGCCAACTGTGGTACAGGCAGCACAATTCCTGCTGTAGTGGAGTACCACCACCATCTGAAAGGGAACAATAGTGTTAGCGGTTCAATTTTATAAATGTGCTTGTATGAACTACGAAGTGCATGAGGGCAGAAGGTTGGGTAACTTCAAAGAAATCTTGATTAAAACCAACTGCTGCTTTGTTTCTAACCACTATGATGATCCTATGTTGTAATTTGCTCCACTGGAAAGTGATGCAAGCCCAGACAACTTTGCTGATAATGCATATCCATCATGCATCCCTACAGTGGAAACAGGTGCTTGTACCATAACAGAATTTACTATTACTACCCAATGTAGAAAAACTTCCTTTCAATTATTGCGTGAGAGAGAGAGAGAGAGAGAGAGAGAGAGAGAGAGAGAGAGAGAGAGAGAGAGAGAGAGAGAGAGAGAGAGAGAGAGAGAGAGAGAGAGAGAGTGAGAGTGAGTGAGTGAGTGAGTGAGTGAGTGAGTGAGTGAGTGAGTGAGTGAGTGAAGTGAGTGAGTGAGTGAAGTGAGTGAGTGAGTGAGTGAGTGAGTGAGTGAGTGAGTTCCATGGGTCACATGGGTCACAAGCCAGCAATGAATGTCATTCAAATTTCATTTGCAAAAGAGCAACGAAAAGTGAGAGGAATCCTCTGGAGACATCAATATCCACTCCATAGATGGGAAATGATGCAATGGCCACTAGATGGACATATATTGCAGCAGACAGATGTATAAAAGTACTAACAGGTAAGTGCCAGCCTGAGCCACGGTGTTGGAACGACCTGAGCTTCACACAGGGAGCTACCATTAAAACACTGAAGTAGTTACATTGTATGTCATGCTGAGTTGTTATTTTGTTATACTACCTGCATATATTCTTCCTAGATTCTTTAAAAGTTACATAATATCTTATTACATTAGAATGAACTTCGTAAATCATAAGTAAGGAGCCGCATCCTACTGTCTCACCACTATTTCCATGTACTTCCCTCAAACTCCACAGACACTCCCCAACTTCCCCCACACTCCACTACCTACCTTTCCTGGCTCCTGCGTGACCTCTACGTAGTCTCTAGACGTCAGCTCCCGAATGCACACCTGGCCCTCCTCACACCTTGACGCTCTCTCTGAGCCCCCCGAGAGCATTGTCCTGCAAAGAAGGTAAGGTGGGATGAAAATGGAGATAAGGATGGTGATATGATAATGATTATTCAAAAAAATATAAATATATAATATTATGAAAGTGCACAGACATAATGATGAAAGCAATAATGATGATAACAATGAAAAACAATAAGACCAGAAGGTGAAAGAATAAGGAAATCAGAGATCATAAAAAGCCTAAAAGTTGTGCAGTTTCACTAAATTTCCTATCTCTCTTCGTCATACCTTAACTGTCATTACTTAAAAAAAAAAAAAACAGAAACAAATACTTTTTAAAAAGTGTTAAAAAATAAAGACAATGGCCCACATTTTACAACACAGTAATCATAAAGCAGTATAAAAATACAAATGAAAAAAACAAAAAATTAAGTATAACCAATAGCAAAGAAATGTATTCATCTTCACTAAATACCAAAGGACTTACAATGGGCCTTGCCTGCTACCATGCAAAATAAAAATCCTAACACACACACACGCAAAAAAACATAGGTGAACATAAATAGCTACACTATGTCTACAACATAATTAGAACTATCCACTGAACATCCTTTACAAGGATTATAATAGCACTGATGACTACTTTGCAGTGATAAAAAAATATTTCAAATCATATGAAATGTATGATTGATATTACATATATTCAGGTTTTAGCTCGGTATTAGAGGATGAAGCATGTAACCCCAGCATTCACTGGTCTAGCAATACTGATGGTTCGGGACAGACTTTAATCTCCTACATGACCACTGGACCAACACCACCCCATATATAGTGTACATTAACAACAATTGATTTACAATGGTTCTGTTGTAAGCTCCACTGATCCAGAGTTAACTGTATGACTCCAGGTGCCTTGCAGCCTACAACATGCCATTTTCCAATATCTATTTTTGTCATTTGATATGCTGCATCCAGATAACAGACTGCTTTCCTTGTGCAGACTCTATATCGTCTCTCTAGGTAGTACATAACTAAGTGCAATAATAATAACATGTTATTTGTGTCATCTCTCTATTTTTTCATAATATTCAATTTTCTGAAATACAACCTGTGTGGCACACTTCCAGTCATAGCACATGGATGCTACATTGCACACTCATTTACCAATGGAAATAATGCAACAGCCCTTCCTAAATGTCCACCAAGTCTAATCACTCTCCAAGAGCTTTGTCTATATATGGCGAGTCATTCCCATCGCTCCAGCCTTCACTCAAAATTTGCATAATGATCTGTTCCCAAATGATGGTATGTTCACGTCACTCAGCCCTCAAACCAAACTTTTTCATGACATGTGGTCCTGTCACCCAGATGCAAGGGGTTAATAAAATAAACACAGTGGGTATGGTATGTACTTATATGCCATTCCTTACAGTACTGGGTTAACAAGTGCACTTTGCAACTAGAGCAAACTTTGCAATTTTGTGCATTAGTATATTTCCATCACTATTTACCAATGTCAGGAATTTCTCAAATAGTATATTAACATATGAATAACTCTGCTTCAGTTAACCTTTTGATGATACAATCACTTGCATTTCTTGAAGACTGATTCTTGCAAGCAATAGGGGAACATTTATCCTAAAACTTATCTCCAGGATTCTGGCAACATAATAATTATCCACAGTGTATTATCAGGTAATACAAACTAACAGACATATTACTTAGCCAAGAGTTTACGTAAGCTATTGCAATAAACAACGACTTCCAAGTCCATAAAAGCAAGAAAAAAAAAACTACTTTCGCAATTACAACTAGCAGCTTACAAGATGTTTTGGGTGTGTTTAAGCAACATCCTTTTTAAGCTATACAGGACTATTAGTGTCTGGGTCTCGTCTAAGCCACCTGTGACTGTTGCTTACCTGTGCAACTTCCCCAGAACTTAGAACAAGACTGCAAAGAAAGAAAATGTTCAACGGAAATAGTACCATTCACGGGTGGAGGAACACCCAAAGCAATTTCACAGAAGACAGAGAATGAGAGGTAGGCCAGGTCAAGTCATTCATTGCAAGAGAGAGAAATTCCTTGTGCTTTCAGCGAAGAAATTTTAATCCCATTAGAGAAAAATAATAATAACAATAAAAATCTAAATAGTAATTATCACAATATAATGAATGCATAAAAGATGTACATTATTCTCGCCCAAAACATGTTGTATTCAATTCTACAAGTATAACATGCTAGACTATTATATCAAGATCAAAATTATTTAATATGCAAAGCAGTGACAAAAAAAGATCCTCTCAACGTGTATTAAGAAGGTAAAGAAAATAGATAAATTGATAAACAAATAAATAAAATGAAAACTAGAGAGGCAAAAGCCAGTAAAACGGAAAAGAAAGAGAAAAGGGGGAAGCGCAGACCATTCGTTCTTTTATCCCATCATGCCAGCACAGAATAATAAATAAAAAGTATAGAAAATAAACACAAATGAATAAATGTACACAAGAACGCATAAACAAAAGGAAATACAATAAAGTGAAATATGCAGCCCACATGCATTCATACAAACATATATACATAACCAAGTAAATCAATACACTAACCAACAACCCTCACGCCCACATATTCACACATTCATGTACGCATCTCCATGAAGTAAATCAATGAATGAATAGATAAACAAATAAATAAATGAATACAAATGAGTACGTCAAAAATGCAAAGGCTCCACTCTCACCTGTCCAAACTGCCGCTGGTATAGTTAAGCACAAAGGCAGCCAGCGCAGCTTTGGAGAGCGGAGCATCCATGACGAAGTGGGCCTCCCGCTTTTGGAG